CTTGCTTACCCGTAACATGCGCTTCCGTGAGGACGAAGAGACCCTTCGAGAGTGATTTCCGAGGATTGAGACCAATTGCGCAATCCCTCAGTAAAAGATCGACCTGAAGCGGCTGAGAGACTGCTGTGACTGGCGAACTCGCCTGGGAAGATTGTCGGCTGATGGTTTTAGGAGAGGATGCGCCTGTGACGGTTGCGACGCTTGAGGCCAGGCCTATAGCCAGATCGTCTACCGTGCCATCCTCAGCAATCCCCAGCGCTGCCATAATCGTGCTGACTCGGTATTCAACGCATAGGTTGAACAACTTGACTTTCACCATGGGTTCCATCTCATCGCCCACCATCCTCAGCATGATGACGGGTAGTTCGTCCGATGGGTCTAGCTCCACAACTTCATGGACCAATACTTCTTCGTTGCGCCGAACAGTCGCTTTGCTTACTTCGACAGCAAGCAAAGCAGGAACTCCGACGTGTGCTAATGCCGATTCCTGCAAGATGACTGAGACATCTCCAAGTTTCTCATTCACAGTGACGCGAGCATCCAGCCGTTTCACCGATGCGAGGCTTAGAAGGCCAGGTCGATCATCATCTGGCAAGTATTTGGTGACCTTGGATAATCGAGCCAGCTCTATCCCCAGAGCCTCAAAGGCTTTCATGTGTTCAAGATCTGAAACATGAACACCGATTTCAGCGATTTCAACTCGGAGTACGGAACCTTTCTTTCGCTGACGTAGCAGGGTTTCGATGAGGATGTCGTCGTTGTTCTCATACGGGTTCTTTGATGGCGTGATTAAGGATATTAGCCTGGTGAGATCCTGCTCGCCAGGAGCGAAGAGAAAGTTGATTTCAGTGCCTTTCAATTCTCCAAAGAAAGGTGCAGTCTTGGGGGCGACCTCGGTGTAAGGGCCAGTGAGCTGTGTCTCGGAAACTTTGAGGCGCACATTGCTTTGCCGTACAGCAATGCGCACCGTTGTCGTGTGAAGTTGCATGGAACATGACTTCCCCCTGAGGGCCAAGGATACCTCACCGAGTTTGACGTCGATCTTCGGAGACTTCGTGGGTGGTGATTCTTTGACAGGGGGAGGTAGACCATCACCAAAATGTACACCGCGAGGCCGAGAACGGGCCGGAGATATGACAGGACTTGCGACTGCGCTACTAGAGTTGATAGAGTTGCTCAACTCTAATATGCCGCTGAACCCACCAAATGAGCCCAGCGCGTCGTCCAGTTTCTGGATGTCAAACAAGATGTTGAGGGGACGGGTGACGATGGTGATACGATCGTCTTGCCCCTGCTCGTACTTCAGTTCTATATCGTGATTGGGTTGTTCTAGCGGGACATTGGCCGACCGTCTGGATTTCGGCCGTGAGCTGTGGAAGGAAATGACGCCTTGATCCAAAGATGCTAATGTGAACTTGCCAATATGAAGTTGAGTTCGCAAAATACCGGAAGGCTTGCCACTGGTGAGGTGTATAGCCGAGAAATTGGCTCTCAATATTGCATCCGGAGGTTGAAGTTCCAGTTGGTGCCCTGAAAGCGGCCCTTCCTGCGTAGATTCCGCCAACACGTGCTCCAGCCACGATAGAGCAATGCTCTGCACGGAAACTTCAAGACTCATGGGAGATGATTCCAAAGTTTCCGTGGACTTCGATTTCACAGTTCCTTCGCTTGAGGACTGTTCCCCGGTGAGAGCTTGTGTTGCCCTAGCAAACATAGCGGCCATGATGCGGCCAGTGGAAATGTCCATATGACCGACTATGGAGCCGACATCGACAGTAATCGAAGCCACGCCTGTTGTCGTGGGCTGCGCTGGAGGCCGAGATGTTGGTGGGGATGCGGGGGTAGGTCGTCCGCGAGACGACGCTTCCAGGGAGGGCTTTCGACGATGTGAAGAAGAATGTGCATAATTGGAGAACGATCCTGGCATCTCCGTGAAAATAGAATCTTCACCCAAATTGGAAGGACTAAACTCCATGCTTGCCGCATCATCGACTTGCTCACTTGTTGCATCATTATGCTCTTTATCACCGAGGGCCATGGGGAACCACACAGTAATCTCATCTATGGTGAGAAACCGTTTGGCATGTTTTCGCGGACCGGGCGCGTCAGGCGTAGGGGTTTGTCTAAGTTCGGGTCTTGGCGGCAAGACCGAGCTCTGGCGGCTTCCCGGACGTGGAGTCTCGCATCCATCGTCTGCTTCTGGCAATGGCGCTAAAATGCTACCGGATATCATATCCTCTGGTATCGGTTCCGACCTATCGGAACTAGACTCTTTACTTGAGTCTGACGAAGAGTCCCAGCCTCCGGGAACATGCCCAGCATGAGCGGAACTAGCCTGCGTCGCACTCACTGCACTCATGTACATACTTTCAGCCTCATCGTGCGTGAAAAACCGTGACTGGGCCATGTCTTCATCTGGTGAAGGCGATGAATCAAGGTGCTGGTGCACGTCGTCGGAAAGCTCCTGAGTATCATCCGTTGTTCGCTCATGTGCTGCAGCCAAATTGTCAGTACTGATGTGGGGTGCCTGGATATGGCCCGATTGAGACGATGAGTCGATCACATTCGGGACTGGAAAGGAGCGACCCAGAGCAGACACAGTAGGCAAGTCTGACACGGATGCATCGCTAGCGGCTTCGGAGATGTGAGTATGTCGGCTTGAAGTTGCACCGTTTAGCCCCCACGCCGCCGCTTCCGAGGACTGTTCCATCGCCGGTTGCTCCTCAAGTTGTGAATTGAGCATGTCATTCTGCATCGCGAAGTTGAGCAAGCCCTCGTCGTCATACGATAAACTACCCTCGCCAAGATCAGGGAAATCATGATCTTGCTGAAACTGGCCGAGTGAAGGCTGCAGTTGTTGACCATACACGCCGTCATCGGAAGTAGCGTCTGCAAAACGATCATCGTCTGTTGTTTGCGGCGACAGCGCTAGCTGTGCTTGGTCCGGGGATAAAGAACGCTTGGGTGAGGCAGCTTCTCCGTGAGAGATGGCACTTTGGACTTCTGTTGGCAAAACGATCTGGCTGGATGACGCCTCTTCATCGCTCCGGAATGTTGTCGAGCTTATCACTTCCTCTTGTAGGGATTGCCTAGACTCAACAGGCTGGTCTTGAACTTGACTCGTCGCAGGTTCGCTGGTGGTTTCATGGCTGCTTGACGCCTGAGATCGACAAGTAGGCGGAGATGACGTCGTCTGCGAGAGCTGCGATTGAGATACGAAATTTTTGACATCGGACACAAGGCGCCCGCAGATGTTTTCCACCCGCATCCTCCGCTTACCTAGCTTCGAGGTGGCGGGAGGCAACGTTGTAGACTCAGCCTCAATGCGAACATCTTTGGCAGTGGTCGAGTCAATCGCTATACGCTCGATGTGAAAGCTCAGAGAAGAAGGTGAGGTTTCGCTTGACTTTGACGAGTCCATGGCATCGTTAGGGAAGTGATCCTCCACATCTATATCGATGTTGTTGACAACTATGCTTAGACGATCTAAAGCGGTGTTCAACATATTGCGAAGATATGTTGGGATCGTCAGAGCCGCTCCAATACCAGCAGAAGCCTCTTCGCCATCGTCGCTCGATGCGACCGACTCGTGCATATACGTAGGTTGAGACTCGAGCTCATGCTGCAGCTCGCGAATTTCTTCCAGAGGCTCCGTCTTTATGAATGACTTGGCCAGCTCGTCTACGGTGGGCACGTAGTCGTCGTCATCGGTGTCATTGTCTGAACCATCGGTGTCCTGGTTGTTGGGGGCAGCGGAAGGCGAAGCGGCCGTTGAAGGTGGCGAGGATCGTTTCTGGGTGTGCTGTCGGCGAGTATTTGAAGAGGGAGCACCTTCGACATGCTCGGTCAACCGAGCTTCTACGCGTATGCCATGTACCTCTATCAATATCTGGGGGACGCCGAATTCGAGGACGAAGGTAACCTGGAGGAGTGAGGCTTGCGCTTTCAACAGCTGGATCTCGGGAGGGAGGGTGAGGTGTAATAGTGCTAGGAGTTTCTAGAACATGGTGTCAGTACTAGGCGCACAGTGATGGACATCTCCGGGACGTACCTTGACGTGCAACCCAACGTCCCGAACCTCGAGTGTAGTGCGCCACCCGACATCGACGCTCACGAAGTCGGCAGGGTCTTTGTCCAGTATGTCGATGTGGCGCAACCCGTAGAGGAGCAGCTTCCGGCCGATGGAGCTCGAGAGCGTAGAGAAGAAAGCCATGGCGGTGGAGAGGCTGGCGACCGGGTTGGGGGACGCGCTGGTGGCAGGCTGGTCGAACGCCTATCGCCGGGAGAGAAGAGGCTCCATGGATAGCGGAGCGTGCGGGTTGGTGGCGCGTGTCACGACTGCGAAGTGTGAAAGTCTTCCTATCGGTACGGCGATGCACAGTGGTGCCTGCCAAGTCTTGTTGCTTCACCAGCCGCGGATGTGAAGTATGGACGGTCCCGGATCTAGAAAAAGCAGAACTGTAGGGGCATCAGCAACGGGATTAGTGAGGGTGCCGGTCCGCGTGGCAACAAAAGACGTGGGTGATCACAGGGCGAGGTTCCGCCGTCTAGCGTCGAGGTTGCGGTGCTATGGAGCGCAGATGATGTGTTATGCCATCGCAGCCGACCGTGCAGCTGCCACCACCCGCTACCGCCCCGCGCATGCACCAACGCGCGCTAGGCAATCGATAAGCAAGGCCCCAACGCGTCAAGAGCGCGTGCTGTGAATGAGACAACAGTGGCCGTTGCAGTGCGGCTTGGACTTCACATTCGAAGAGTGAAAGACGCCATTCCCTGTGTTCCCGCGTGCCCTGCTGGTACATGTAATCTGTGCAGGCCTCCGTATCTCGCCGCTCTTGGCACGAGTTAGACCCTGTTACGTCAGCAGTCACTAGCTCCATTCAGGAAGGAACTCGCGGAAGTCACCGATAGGGCGGCGTCTGACACTGATACAACAAATTGTGAACGACACTTCCTTCACCAAACATTCCTTGTTCTGAGGCGCAGACACAGCCGCTATCATGACTACGAACGATGCTGCGAACGACGACGAGTGGGCGCAGGCCGAAGGCGTCCCGAACCTAAGCGACCCATTCATCCAACAGTACTTACAGGGCCGAGACGCTTTGGTTCAGCAAGAGAAGAGACAACGAAGCGGTTCGTGAACCAAAATGTTCGTCACTGTACAGCATGTGCAGTGGTCTAACCACCTCCAGACTATCTTTTCCGCCAGAATCTATCGCCCATGGCTCAGGAAGCATGCGCCATCGTCTCCCAGATTCGATTTGAGGAGCAACAGACCCTCTGGACAAAGGAATACGAAGACAGCTTACTAACCGAACATGTCGATGTCTTTCCAGGCATGATGTTCTCACTTGCCAAGGAGCGCATGGAGAAGAGCAAGCTGTGGCAGATAGTCAAGCGAATGCCGAAAGGCGCACTCTTGCACTGTCACTTGGAAGCCATGGTGGACCTTGACTGGGCGCTTGAAGAAGCTTTCAACACTGAGGGTGTCTGCGTTATAGCTGATAGTCCCATCACCGACGACAAGACCAGGCGCAAAACCGGCTTCTCCTTCACCTACTCCAAGGACGCGAACGGTGACGCTTCAGTATGGAACGACAGCTACACTGCGAACACACCAGTGCCTGTAAATCAAGCCGCGGATACCTTTCCAAATGGCGGCAAGAAGGCCTTCATCGAATGGATTCGCTCCCGTGTCACTATTACCCATTCAGAGCACCTCTCTCATCACGAAGGCCCCAACGAAGTATGGCGCAAGTTCATATCATGCTTTCCTATTCTCGGCTCCCTCATATACTACGAGCCCATCTTCCGCAAGTTCGTACGCAGGATGTGCAAGGCTCTAGTCGACGATGGCGTATACTACGTTGACTTGCGTGCTGCGTTCTATACGCCCTACCGCAGCAGCAAAAAAGAGATCTGGGACTCGGATCACTTCAATCTGCTTGAGCATCTGGCGGACGAGATTGAGAAGTTTAAGGCGAGTGAGGAAGGGAAAGACTTTTGGGGCGCTAGAATGATCTGGACGACCATTAGACAGTTCGGAAAGAAGCAGGTGATTGAGAGTAAGTTGCTTGCCGCTCGCGCACATCTCGTCCACTATCAACGCGTCTGGGAGCTTTTGTATTACCATACTAACAATCGGCCAGGCATGAAGCAATGCATCGAGATGAAGATCGAATTCCCCGAGATTATCGCAGGCTACGACCTCGTAGGCCAGGAAGACCTCGGCCGCCCGCTTTCAGACCTTGCGCCCGAGCTCTTCTGGTTTCGCAAGGCCTGTGCTCAAGAAGGAGTCGACATACCGTTCTTCTTCCATGCCGGGGAAACGCTTGGCGACGGCGACTCAACTGACGAGAATCTCTTTGACGCTATTATCTTGGGTACGCGGCGCATAGGACACGGGTTCAGCCTTTACAAGCATCCACTCCTTATCGACATGGTCAAGGAAAAGAGAATTCTAGTGGAGAGCTGCCCAGTATCCAATGAAGTGCTAAGACTTTGCTCGAGCATCATGTCGCATCCTCTGCCAGCGCTGCTTGCCCGTGGAGTTCCTTGCTCGCTTTGCAACGATGATCCCACCATCCTTGGTCAAGGTGTATCTGGCATGTCGCACGACTTTTGGCAAGCGCTTCAAGGATGGGAGAATCTTGGTCTTGAAGGCCTGGGCTCATTGGCGGAGAACAGCGTGCGTTGGGCTAGTCTGGATGATTACAGTGCGAAAGAGTGGACCCAGGATGTCAAGGATGGAATGTTTGGGAAGGGTGTACGGGCACAAAGATTGAAGGAGTGGGTGAGCAAGTGGGAGAAGTACTGTGCTTGGATCGTCGAAGAGTACGGTGTGGATGAGAACGTAGAGCCGGAAGAGTGAATCTCTACAAGGCATAAGAACTGCTTCGGCACGGCACGTACATGGAGGAACGAGATTCAAGATCGTGTTTGGCAAGGTACAACACTCGAAAGGCATAACCATCCTCTTTTCGAAAATCATGAGTGCGATAAGGTAGCGAGATGATCTGCCAATGAAAGACATTCAGCATGAACTTAATCGCCGCTAGGACTATCCCCTAATTAGTTAAAAAAACACCCGACCAACCGTATGCCAAGCTGTCGTACGCTATCTTCACTACCGTGAGTATTCTTATTCTTACCTTATTCCCTGCTCTAAAATAAAAGTAGGTAACATTATTTACTAAGCAATCTAGAAGTAGGTCTAAAACTTATTACTAATTACTCTACTTATAGAGCTATATATACTTAACTAACACTAAACAAAAGCGTAGCTACTAAGTAGTAGACTAGAAGTAATTATTTAACTAGATATAAAACGTAATTATAGTAATTATTACTATAAGTATAGTATAATAGTATTTTAGTATATTAACTTACTATACTATACTTAGTTAGAAATATTAAAACTCTAGATAATTATATATACTATAAAGTATAATATTATAATATTATTGTAAAGAATAGAGAGGTAATAAGAACTATTCTCTAATAATAGAATATAGCTTTATTAGAACAAAGTAGTTAAATACTATAATAAATAGTATTTACTAATAAAGATTACAATATAATTGCAAAGTAGATAGTAGGTAAAAGATAATAATATTATTGCTAGGTAAAGAATAACTATAGAGAATTGCTATTTCTTTTATAGAAAATAGCTACTAGAATAATTGCGTAAATATTTACTTATTTCTACCTAAAAATAAGAATTTATAATTAAATCTACTTAATTTCTATTAATTTCTAGATTTATAATCTAAGTCTGCTAAATTCTTTTTATCTTCTAGATTTATAATCTAAACTAGTACTAATTATATTAGTTTATGCGTTGTATTGCATAGACTAATAATTAGTTTATTACTAGATCTTTTAGTAATTACAGAAAGAGAGATAAGAAGATAAGAGTTATTAAATTACGTAATAACTCTAATATTAACTAGACTAAGACAAATAAAAGTGTTTTAGAATCTTCTAGTGTAGCAGATTAAAACTAGCTACTAAAATCTTAATTACGTAAGTAATTAGATTTACTAGGAATTTTTCTAATTTGTTAAGAAATAATAATAAGTGTAATCTTAATAAAGCTTAATAATAATAAAAAGATAATAATAACTAAGTTATTATAATCTTTACACACTCTCTTAAGCTGTAGTTTATAATAACTAAATAATAAGAAAATATAAGTAGTTTTTATAACTAACTTATTAATAATAATTTATATAAGAAGTTTTAATAACTATCTTAAAACTAAAAACCTATTTCTATTTCTATTTCTATTTCTATTTGCTAATATAAATAGTTATATAATAATAACTAAATATAAAGCCTAGACTAGAATCTCTAAGGTATAAGAACTTAGGGGTTAAAAACCTAAGCTCTGTAATAGTATTAATATACTATTTTTATTATTATAAATAATAATAATAATAACTAGTTATAAATTATTAATCTAGTCTAACTAGACTAATTCTATTTATAAAATTCTTAAATTTAGAATAACTAGTAGGTTTAGTTAGATTATCTACTAGAATAGTACTAGTATTTTCGTAAACTAGATTTATTTTATTATCTAGTAGATTTTCTCTAATAAAGTAATAAGTTATATCTACGTGCTTAGTTCTAGCGTGAAAAACAGAGTTTTTAGCTAGTTCTATAGTACTTAAAGAATCTATTTTAATAATATTAGTTCTATTAAAAATAGAACTAAATTTTTTAATAGAATTATTATTAAAAAGATCTTTAATAAAATTATTAAGATATAAACTTTCTTTAGTAGCTTTTTTAAAGCTATATATTCTGCTTTTGTACTAGAAATAGCTATAGTTTTTTATAGTTTTAAAATCTAACTAATAGCTATATTATTATTATAATTACTTTTAGAATTATTTAAAATAAATATATTGCCTGTAGTAGATTTTTAAGAATCTAAATTACCTCTTTAATCTAAATTACTAATACCTAATAAATTAATACTATTATTAATATTATTAATAGTATTATTATTAGAATTATTAAATTCTAAAGATTATAGAGTTAAATCTAAGCTATAATTACTAGTCTTTAATAAATAACTAAATATAAAATTTAAATATTTATAATATTCTAGACTAGAATTAAATATAAATCTAGCTAGGTAATTTATACTATAAACTAGGTTAGGCCTAGTAAATATAGTTAAATAAATTAAACTACCTATTTCTTTTAAATAGTCTTTAATAATAGAACTATCTTCTAGATTTTTAGATAATTTAACTCTTATAGGTAAAGGTATAGATTTAGACTTATTTAAAAGTTTTTTATATTTAAATAATAGTTTATTAATAAAGCTTCTTTACGTTATAATTAAAGATCTCTTAGATCTATCTCTAATTATTTCTACGCCTAGAAATTCTTTAATTTCTTCTAAATTAGTTATTTCTAATTTAGAAGTTCTAGTTAAATTCTTATATAACTTATTAACTAGATTTATATTTTTAGTAAATACTAATATATTATCTACGTGTGTAGCTAATATAATAGGCTTAGTATTATATATAAAAATACTATTATCTATATTTAAAACTTTAAAATCTAGTTATTCTAGAATTTTAGTTAAAAATAATTACTACTATCTAGAAGCTTGTTTTAGACTATATAAAGCTTTATTTAATCTATAAACTAGATTATTAAAGTCTTTATTTAAAATAGCTTTATTAATAAAGTCTATTAAACTTTTATCTGTAATATCTTTTAAAGCTTCTTTTAAGATATATTCTTCTAGGCCTATAGGTAATTGTATATAAATATTATTATTATCTATTTCTATATTAGAAAAAGCTTATTTAATATTCTAAGTATAGATTTTCTAATCTAGATAGCAGAAAATAGCTAATAATAGCCTAATAATACTAGGCTTACTAGTAGAAGTAAAGGTTTCTTTATAATTAATATTATATTTTTATAGAAAGCTTTTAGCTACCTATCTAGCTTTATATTTTTTAATAGTATTATTTAAGTTTAATTTTTTAGAAAGAACCTATCTACCTTTAATAATATTAATATTATTAGGTTTATTAGTTATATTCTAAGTATTAGTTTTAATAAGATTATTTACTTCTATTTTTATAGTAGCTAGATATAAATCTTTATCTTTTCTATTTAAAACTTCTTTATAACTTTTAGGTTCTATTAAACTATTATTACTAGTATTTAAAATATTTTCTATAATAGAATTATTATAAAGAGTATTCTAATTGTTTTTACTAGTATTAATATTTAATATACTATTAAAGCTATTATCTTCTATAATAATAGTAGAATTAATAGCTAGTTTATCTTTAGAATAATTATCGTCTAGTTCTACTAAACTATTATTATTATTAGAAGAAATAACTCTTTTATTAGAGTTATTATTATTATTATTAATTAATAACTTATCTTTAGAATCTTTAAATTTAGAGTTATTATTATTAATAATAATATTACTATTACTATTGTTAATAATAATTTTACTATTATTATTATTACTAGTAATAGATTCTATTTTACTAAAGTCTTTTTCTATAATATTATTATTATTATTAGAAGAAAGATCTTCTAGTTTTATAAATATTTTATTAATATTTACGTTATTATTAGGCTTATAATAATAACCTTCTATAATTTTACAATCTCTAGCTCTAATA